TGGAAGACAGCTACCCAGCCAATCAATTGAAAGAGACCCATATTTGTGCCCATTCCAAAGGGAGGTGACTCAACTGAATGTGGAAATTATCAAACAATATCATTAATGCTACATGCAAGTAAAATTTTGCTGATGATAATTCAAAAATGGTTACAGCAGTTCATTGACAGAAAATTGCCAGAAATTCAAGTCAGATTCAGAAGTGGATTTTGGATGAGATATATCATTGCTGACATCAGATAAATCTTGGCTAAAAACAGAGAATACCAGAAAGGTATTTACTTGTGCTTTATTGACTATGCAAAGGCACTTGACTGTGTGGATCATAAAAAGCTATGGATACCATTGTAAAGGATGGGCATTTCAGAACGCTTAATTGTGCCCATGAAGAACCTGTACATAGACCAAAAGGCTATCATTAGAACAGAACAAGGGGATACTGTATGGTTTAAAATCAGGAAATAGGTGAGTCTGGGTTATATCATCTCACTATAATTATTTAATCTGTATGTTGAGCAAATAATCTGAGGAGGTGGACTATATGAAGAAGAATGTGACATCAAGATTGGAAGACGCCTCAGTAACAACCTGCGATATGCAGATGACACAATCTTGTTTGAGGAAGGGAAAAGGACTTGAAGCACTTACTCATGAAGGTCAAAGACTACAATATGGATTACACCATAATATAAAGAAAACAAAAATCCTCATAATTGAAACAATAAACAACATCATGATAAATAGAAAAATGGTTAGAGTTGTCAAGGATTTCATTTTCTATGGCCGCACAATCAAAGCTCATGAAACAGCAATCAAGAAATCAAACAACGTAGTGCAATAGGCAAACCTGCTGCCAAAGACCTCTTAATATGTGAAAGAGAAAAGATGGTACTTTGAGGACTAAGGTGCATCTGACCCAAACCATAGTATTTTCATATGTATGAAAGGTGGACAGTGAATTAGGAAGAACAAAAAAAGAATTGATGCCTTTGAATGATGGTGTTGGTACAGAATATTGAATACTGACTATACCATGAACACAGTAGCTGCAACAATGAGCCCAAGCATTAGTAATGTGAGCACAGAGCAAGACACGACAGTGTTTTCTTCGGTTGCACAAACGAGTCCTAACCCACTCAGGGAGCATTGGTGGTTTAGGGTGGTTACCCTGATTCCTTTCTGGCCCATGCCTCTCAGGTGCACCCACCACCCCTCTATCAGTGGAGGCTTGCTTGTGGTCATGATGATGAACAGATTCAGTAGAACTTCCAGAATAAAAGAGAAGGCTTGGCCTAGCGATCTATTTCCAAAAATCAGCCAATGAAAACAGCAGGACAATGTTGGCTCTGTAGCCCATATGGGGACTGCACAGGACTGGGTAGGCAGCTTTTCCTTCAGTGAATTCCGTTCGCTGTGACTCCGGGGTGGGCTAAGAAGAGGAGAGGAAGGCTGGATCGCTCAGTTAACAGCAATGATTACACTAAGGATTAAGAAACTGAATGTGAATAAAGCGTTTAGTAAAATGCCTTAAACATGAAAAGTGCGAAATCAATGTTTCCTCCTTATCATTTCCTTTCTCTCCTTCACTGCTTCCCAAGCCTTTGTCTTTTGCCCTGGCTCCTTCCAATCAGATTCAACCGGAAGCCTGAACTCAATCTGCCGCCGACTTGAGGCCGGGCGCAGACGTCCAGAGCCCGGAAGCCGTCTCCCCGGCCCAGTTCCTGCAGCCGCTTGGAGCCCCCGGTCCGGTAACCGCACGCCCGGCCCGGCCCCCAGCCTTTGACCCACGCCGCTTTGACCCATCCCAGGCCAGGATTGGGATTCCACCGCTGGTTCTTCGGGGTGATCACTTCCCCCAGATCGATGCCCTAGCGCGTAAGCCGGCCAGTTCGCCCGCGCGTAACCCAGATTTCCCAGCGGCGTGTGTCTGGCCCTCCCCTGCCTGGGTAATCGGTAGCGAGGTTTATTCACTCTTGAAATTCTGGCTCCCATCTGGCGCTTCGCTCAACCCTGACAGCGTGATTGTGTCGGTCTCCAGACCCCTTTCTGGTGCTAATTCTGACCTCTAATTCTGGTGCTCCGACTTGGAGGAATTTGGGAGGGTATTTTCAATGCTTTGCACCTTCTCAGATGTCCCCCAAACAGAGAAGTCTATGGTGTTCCCAAGAGACAGGGAGTGGAGCATTAGGCTCCTGAGGACCACCTCAAGGTTGAGACATCCCTTCTTGATCAGGGCCCTGTGCCCAGAAACAGGATCGGCCCCCTGAGTTCAGCTACTGGGGTCCAAGTCTCCACCCTGCCCTACCTTTCCAAAGAAAGTCTCGTTACCTCTCCAGCCATCCTGAGGAGTCGCCTAAGAACTGTTTTCAGACCTTGGAAACTGTTGTCTCTGTATTTATTCAGCAAAGTTACAAAGACAAGTTATAAACTTTTAAAAAAATGTTTTATTGTGGATTCTGTGATAGTTTACATGGGAGAACATTAGCTTTACATTCATCCTATCATATATCTTTTCATTGCCATGGTTACAGTCCTCTTCATGCATCATCAACCAACCAAAGTGTACACCCTGAAGGCCTTTCCCCTGGTCGTCAGCACACAGCCCCTCTCTGGGTTTAGAGTCCCCAGCAGTTCCCTCTCTACACATCATCGACTCTGCCTTCATCTCTGTCATCACTGTTTCTCTGGGTGTTGTTGTTGTTGTTGTCAGGTGCCATCGAGTCGGAACCGACTCATAGCGACCCCATGCACAGCAGCACGAAACAATGTCCGATCCTGGGCCAACCTCACTACCGCTGCCACACTTGAGTCCATCAATGATGCCACCTGGCCAATCCATCTTGTTGGGGGTCTTCCTCTTTTTCTCTGACCCTCCACCCTACCCAGCATGACATCCTTCTCCAACGATTGTTTCCTCCGGACAATATGTCCAAAGTAGGGCCCCACATTCTGCTCTTCTCCCTTGATGGTCCCAGCGATCTCCGCTCCTGGACTGCAAAGTCAACCACTCTCCCCTTGTTTTGCTACAAAACGTCTATTTTTACATTTCCAACCCTCACAGTCAGTTCTGAAAGCAATTCACTATTGTGCCACATGAGTGCCATCCCCATCTCCTTTCATCAACCCTGCCCGTTATAAACTCTTGCACCCCAGAGGTTACTTAGTCCAATTCCTATACAACAGCCCAGCAAATGTGCTTGATATTGTTCTATTAAGGTCATCTAATTCTACTTCTGGGCCTAATTGATTTGCCATCCCTGCATGTGCAAATGGGTAAGGCCTTGGCTGCAAATGGAAAGACTGGCAATTCAAGCCCACCTGAGCTACCTCAGAAGAAAGATCTAGTGATCTACATTCCAAAAATCAGTTGGCTTGGACATGCATGGACTCTTTTTAACATGGGTCATTATGAGTTGAAGTCTTGGATGGCAGTTGTTTCACTAGTTTGTTTTTTGGTGTTCTATTTGATATTTGACTTACCTTGCATTGAACCCAAAGATGTCGATTTCTTTCCTGCTTTGCCCTGTTGTCCTGAAAGTACTGTCTCTTGGGGTCATTAGATCAGGGGGCAGCTCTTCCTACTGTCAGCTCATGCTCCTGCTCTTTACACTGACATGGTGCAAAGACCATAGCAACCTTCTCCTTTGCTCCTGGGCCAGTTTGTCCACATCCTCTGTAAAATGTGGTGTCCAGTTGGAATCCAGTGCTCCTGGTGTGATGTGGTTCACCTACCCCAGGAAAGCCATTTTGTAATGATCCTCTCCTTAAGGATGCTGTCAACGGCTTCTTTGGTAGCTCAATTATCTGGCTTTCTTCTTAGTCTGGTCCTATGAAGATCCTGCCTGTTATGACAGCTTCTTAGGTAGTTTGTGTTGACTCTAACTTTTACCAGAGTTACACAGACCCTTCCCTTTATAGATGTACACAACCACCTTACCCTGCCCACCTACCTACCTACCCACTCACTTTCATTCTGTTCTGTGAAACACTACACTTTAGTTTATTTGACATGGACCTTTGTACTCTTATGGCACATGGTTCCTGGGAACCTACCTGATATGGAAATTCCCTCAGGATTCTCCCCTATAATTTGAGTGCTCTGAGTCCTCACAGGGCCAATTAGCCCTGGGGCCCTGTGGTGATGTAAGATAAACACTGAACGCTTCACTGCAAGGTCAGCAGTTCAAACCCACCAGACGCTCCTTGGGAACCTCCCTATTTGTTGGAACTGAATTGACAGCACTTAACAACAACAGCAATGGGGCATTGGTGGTTCGATGGTTCAGAACACTCATCTACTGTGCAGGAAAACTGGGTTTGATTTCCCTTTATTAGCATGGAGGCTTCATGTTGCTGTGATGTTGGATGGGTTTCAGGACAGCTTCCAGACTAAGATGGGCTAAGAAGAAAGGTGATCTACTTTAGAATATCCCCGTGGATCATAATGATTGGATCCACAATCAATCATGCAAATGTCTGAGGGCCATTAGTACTTTGGTCCATTGTGTATGGGGTCACCATGAGTTGGGGCAGTATGCCAGCCCTCCTCATTATTCTTCTAGGATTAGGTTTAGGATTAGGTAGAGCAGCTGTCTCACCTTGGATGTTATAGTAGGCCTGTGCTCCATAGGTGTCCAGTGATTAAGTTTGGGGAAGTAGCACACCAAGCCTTTCTTCTGAGATTTTTCTAGGTACCTACAGACTTTTGGTTAGCAGTCAAACATGTTAACCATTTGCGTTTAAGGTAGTAGGTCAATGAGACTGCTTCATACGGATTAGAAGATTATGGTTTGCAAAGTCACAGATGGAAGCTGGCATGAGACTCGACACAGGACTCCTGTCAACCCTCTGAGCCACCATGAATTAAGTCACCTTGTCCCGACCTGCTGCCGCCTCAGTGAGAGGTGGTTCAGTGACTAACTGAGGGGGCTGTGTGTGGGGTGGTGGGAACTGGGAACCTTTCGTTCTATCTCCTCTGCAGGCTGCAGGCCTCCAGGATCATGTGGTACGTCAGCACTCGGGGAATGGCCCCCCGAGTGAACTTTGAGGGGGCCCTCTTCTCTGGCTATGCATCCGATGGGGGCCTCTTCATGCCTGAGATGCTCCCACAGCTGGATAGAGAGACCCTTCGTAAGTGGAGCATGCTATCCTACCCTGACTTGGTGAAGGAACTGTGCGCCCTATTCATTGGCCCCGAACTCATTACAAGAGATGATTTACACGGTGAGCCCCTTACCCGCTTCAGATCAGCCTCGCATAGACACCCAACCAGAAGGATGGCTCTTGTCTCATGCTCCAAACTTTCAGTTTTTACCCCAGAGTCTAGAATCCCCAAACTGGAAAATTCCCTATTGTAGTTTGTTGTTATGTGCCATTGAGTCAGTTCTGTCTCATAGCAACCCTGTATAAGGTTTACAAGAAGCGACTAGTGGGTTTGAACCACCAACCTTGTGGTAAACATTCCAGAACGAATCTTCCAGCACCACACCAGGGTCCCTAGAGCCCATTTATTCCAACTCTACACCTCCGGTGAGATGAATCCTGAACTGAGTTGCAGAGAATTTTTTTACTTTGTTTTTAAGAAATCTTTTCAAGACAGTCATCCTGCGTGGCTTATATGGTGGAAGTTTTCCTTCCTGCATATAAAGCAGCCATACTCACAGACTTTTTCCTCCTCTGCTTGAATGGTAATTCCAAGAGGGACTTTGAAAGTGCCCCAAAGTGTAATGTGCTTATGGATTGTCTAGAGATCTTGTTAAAAAGCAGATTTGGATTCAGCAAGCCTGGGGCGGGAATTGAGAATTTGGCATTTCTATCAAGTGTTATAGGGATTTGTGGGTAGTGCAAACCATTAATATGCTTGGCTTATAACCTAAAAGTTGGAGGTTCAAGTCCACCCAGAGACACCTTGGAAAACAGCCTGGCATTCTACTTCCCGAAAATCAACCATTGAAAGCGCTGTGGAGCACAGCTCTGCTCTGGTACCCCTGGGACCACCATGAGTTGGAACTGACTTTGACAGGAACTATAAAACATTTGTGGAAACATTCCATTATCTTTTAATTTCATTTTTCCATGAACTTTTTGAAGGCCCCTCATAGTTTCTTGTTGTTTTTTTCTCTTTTTGTCAAGTATCCAAGTAATACTAATGCTGCTTGTACATGGACCACACTTTAAATTGTTGTTGTTAAGTCAGTGCTGACTCATAGTGACACTGTATAGGATTTCTGGGGATTTATTTAAATCTTTGCAGGATCAGAAAGCCTCACCTTTCTCCTGTACAGCAACTGGTGGGCTTGAACTGCTAACTCTGTGGTGTGTAGTCCAGTGCTTATCCTATGGATCCATCTTGCTCCCCACACTTTTGAATGCTGTTGTTGTTAATTGCTGTCATGTTGGTTCTGACACATAGTGACCCTGTGTAGGGTTTCTAAGGAGCGACTGGTGAGCTTGAACTGCCGATCTTGAAGTTCAAACTGACTCTGCAGTCTAGTGCATTAACCCACTGTGCCACACCAGGACTCCCCCTTTTAATAGCACAGATACAATCTGTAATGTAATGGGAGGCTCAGGCTGGGGAAGAGAAGAGGATCACTGAAATTGTGGTCCAATGACCAGCAATGATCACAGCCTGGATACTTATAAGAAATCCCAGAACCCCTCAGAACTAGAATCTGCATGTTAATAAGATCCCAGGTGATTAGTTTGTCCATTGAAGTTTGAAAAGCACTGCTGTAGACTTCCCCAATTTAAGGAAAATTGTACATAATCCATACCGAGATTCAGTGTGTGAGTTTTAGTAATGAAAAAACGTACACACAGACTCATGTGCGTTTCCTGTCTTTAGGAAGGAAATAGAGATGATACACAGATTTGTTTGTAATTATTTAGCTTCTTTTGGAAGACATGCTCACAAAATATTTTTTTAAAATAGTATATGGAAGTGAAAAATGAAAGTCTTACAATTCCCTGGGGGAATTACTATGACAAATCTACAAGTAGTTTGGTGCATGTCTTTCCAGACTATTTATCTAAGATTACGTATAAATGGTTTCATTTAAGAGGAAAATGTTTGGTCTTTCTATCTGGTGGTGATAGAATGAAAGAAAGATGTGACAATCCAATTCTGTAACGATTTACAGGCTTAGTAACTCTATGGTGCAGTTCTACTCTGTTCTATAGAGTAGAACTTTAGGTCCGATTCCGGTCAATGGCAATGGGAAAGGATAGATACTTTAAACTTGAAAATGTAAGCCTCTGAGAGGGAACATGAGGGGAGAGGTCATGCCTTTCATTTGCTGTCTCCTCCCCACCCTCACAGATCTGATCCATCGGGCCTTCAGCAGATTCCGGCACCAAGAGGTTGTCCATCTGTCCAAGTTGAGGAATGGGCTGAATGTGTTGGAGCTGTGGCATGGAGTCACGTATGCATTTAAAGACCTGTCCCTGAGCTGCACAGGACAGTTCCTGCAGTATTTCCTGGAGAAGAGGGAGAAGCATGTCACGGTGGTTGTAGGTGGGTGTTGTCTGTGTTAAGTGCTAGAGCCCTGGTGCCCTGACTTGTGAGTGTTCATTTACAGGCTGTCTCTCTGGATGTCTGTTGTCTCTCTCTGGAAGTGTGTTGTCAGTTCTTCTAGATCAGGGTTCTTAACCTTCTCTTGTGTCGTGGACCCCTTTGACAGTCTGGTGGATGCTGTAAATGATTTTCAGAATAATATTTTTAAATACAGAAAGTACATAAGATTACTTGGTACCAAGTTCACCCTGAATGCTATTCACATATCTCTTGGAGTCCTGGGGTAGCCCTGTAGGGTAAGCACTCTAGACTGCAAGGTCAGTTTGAATCACAAAGTCAGCAGTTCACACTTACCAGCCGCTCCTCCTCAGAAACCCTACACAGGTTCGCTAAGTATCATAACCAATTCGACAGCACTTAATAACAACAGCATGTCTTGAAGGTCCATGAACTGAGTTTCTACCCTCCAAGTATTTGAAAGCAGATGTTGTCCCATTTAGCAACAATTCTTTGTTATTGTTGTTAAGTGCTGTCAAGTTGGTTCCGACTCATAGCAACTCTGCATAGGGTTTGTGAGGAGTGGCTGTTGGGTTTGAACCACTGACCTTGCGGTTAGCAGTCTGGTGTTTATTCTACAGTGCCACACCAGGACAACAATGTTTTAGGGTCCCTTTTTGTTTCCTTGTCCAAAGGGAAAGGTTCTCCTTTCTTCCCATCCAGGAACTTCTGGGGACACAGGGAGTGCTGCCATTGAGAGTGTTCAAGGAGCAAAGAATGTGGACATCATCGTTTTGTTACCCAAGGGTCACTGCTCCAAGATTCAGGAGCTCCAGATGACGACGGTGCTGAAGGAGAATGTTCACGTGTTTGGAGGTAGGTATCAGGACAGGGACCCACCTTGATTGGTTCTGTTTTGAGAGATGGCCTGGGATGAAACAGGAACCACTGATTTACTGGCTAAATAGCTTCTCCTCTGACTCTCTAATTCCTTTCCTTCATCAGTCATATCTGAGGTTGATATGTGCCTTGGCTTAGCACTGGGAAAGCTCTTGGCTACATAGTCTCATACAGGACAGGAGGTGACAGGTGAATAATCCAATACTGACAGTCCAACACAAATGTGCAGGTTTAAAGCCATATCTCAAAGAGTGTCTTCTCCATGCAGGTTCGACCTGCTGGCATCATATATGCAGGCAGCCATCAGACCCCATAATCTGAGCCAGTTGACTTGGACTTTGTCCCAGGGGACTGGAATTTAGAGGGAATCAACGTCTTACATGACTATTTTTAGGAGAACATGTCCTAACCTGTTGACAGCTCAGGCCTTCTTTTATAGTATAGAAACAATTAAGTGATGTGATTGATTAATGAGGTCCTAGTATATAAAATGGGAAGCTACTTAGTGGCACCCTTTGCTAGTGACACCCCTTCCTGAGCCACAGCATGTATTAGCATTGGGTGCTTGGAGAAAGGTGAGAATCATCTCCTTTTAAACCATAGTCATTCTTCTAGTATGCCTAGATTTCATCATTATGGAGTTTGAGAATGGAGAAAGCTGGAGAAAATATGATTTCAGTCATCCATTTTTTTTTTTTTTTTTCATCTCCCACACTGACCCCAGGTAGCCCCAAGGTGGGATGGGAATATGAGCAGTAGCGTCTTGGTGGAGGCTTTATGCATCTTGGCCTTGGCAACTGTCCAGGTGACCTGGGTGGCTTGGCAGAAGAACAAATATGGCAGCAGAAGACATTCCCTCTACAACTGACCTGGCTTCCTGCCGTAATTTCACGGGTAGAGGGTGTTTCTATAGAACACCAAAAAGGCAACTTGGTCAAGGAGATCGGCACAGTGAAAACACACCTTTTCAGGGGAGTGACACAATTGTTTATTTGTCCAAGAGCAAGCAAAAATTCTCCTCTGCCTATTTCTTTAGCCAGTGCATGCCTAGGCCATGAACAGCTTAGCCTTGGTTGTTGCCTATTTTACTGCAGTCTCCTGCAGAGATTATAAGATTTTAATGTACAGAATTCAGGCTCCTGAGGGTTCCTGGAACCTCAGGCATCAAACTTTCTGCTTATGGATCTAGGTTATCTTTTCTGGGAATCAAAACAGAAAATAGCTTTTTGTACCTCTGTCTTGCCTTCTACATCCTTCTTGTCTTGCACACAAAAGATAATGGAAAACTTTTGCCTAAGGTCATGTATGGACAGTCTATTTCTGACCTATGGGTTGGAGAATGATGCCTGTTTGTAAGATAGTGGCAAAAATGTGCATGTTGATCCATGCAGTATGTCCGAAATATGTTATTGCTAAAACTGAAGGAGTATTTCTGTTTGCAAAAGTTCTGGGCTTCAGTAAAGTAAGACAGCAAACTTTAAAGACATTAATTTTTGTTTATCCACAGTACTGTTGAAGTTATTCTTTTCCTTTCTAGAATAACTTTTCTAGAAATTCTTTTCCTTCTGGCTTGGCTTCAAAGAGACTTTCAGGAGCTAACAGTGAACAAGTGTTTTATTTTAGATTGGTGAACTCAAGTAGTAAGAATGGCTAGCCATGCAGTTCAAAGTGAATTTGCAGTCCAGAAAATTAACCCACAGTGCCACACCAGGACTCCATGTTGGGCACTGATGTTGTTGTTAGGTGCCATCGAGTCAGTACCGACTCATAGCAACCTTATGCAAAACAGAACGAAACACTTGCCCAATCCTGGACCAACGTCACTATTGTTGCCATGCTTGAGCCCATTGATGCTGCCACTTTCTCAATCCATCTCGCTGGGGGTCTTCCTCTTTTTCTCTGACCCTCCACCCTACCAAACACGATATCCTTCTCCAGTGACTGGTTCCTCCTGACAATATGTCCGAAGTATGAAAGAAGAAGTTTGGCCATCCTGACCTCCAAGGAGCACTTTGGATGTACTTCTTCCAACACAGATCTGTTGGTTCTTTTGGCAGCGCATAGCACTTTCAATATTCTCTTCCAACACCATAACTCAAAAGCATTACTTCTTCTGTGGTCTTCCTTATTCACTGTTCAGCTTTCACATGCATATGAGGTTATTGAAAATATCATGGCTTGGGTCAGGCACACCTTAGTCTTCAAGCTGACGTCTTTGTTCTTCAACACTTTAAAAAGGTTTTGTGCAGCAGATTTGCCTAATGCAATACGTTGTTTGTTTTCTTCACTGCTGCTTCCTTGAGTGTTGATAGTTGATCTAAGAAGAATGAAGTCCTTGACAACTTCAATCTTTTCTCTGTTGATAAAAATGTTTTTTATTGGTCCAGTGGTGAGAATTTTTGTTTTCTTTACATTGAGTTGCAATCCATACCAAAACCTGTGCTCTTTGATCTCATCAGTAAAAATTTTAAGTCTTCTTCACTTTCAGCAAGCAAGGTTGTATCATCTGCATATTGCAAGTTGTTAATGAGTCTTCCTCCAATCCTGATGCCACATTTTTCTTCATAGAACCCAGCTTCTTGGATTATTTGTTTAGCATACAGGTTGAATAAGTATGGTGAAAGAATACAACCCTGTCGCACACCTTTCTTAATTTTAAACCATTCCCATGTTCTGTCGAACACTGCCTCTTGGTCCAGGTACAGATTCCTCATGAACACAATGAAGTGTCCTGGAATACTCATACTTCACAATGTTGTCCATAGCTTGTCATGATCCACACAATCAAAAGCCTTTGTGTAGTCAATAAAGCACAGTTAAACATCTTTCTGATATTCTCTGCTTTCAGCCAAGATCCATTGGACATCAGCAATGATATCCCTTGTTCTACAGCCTCTTCTGAATCTGGCTTGAACCTCTGGAAGTTCTTTTTCAATGTATGCTTGCAGCCGTTTCTGTATTACCTTTAGTAAAACTTTACTTGCATGGGCTATCAAAGAGATTGTCCGATGATTTCCGCATACCGTTGGGTCACCTCTCTTTGGAATGGGCACAAATACGGATCTCTTCCAATCAGTTGGCCAGATAGTTGTCTTCCAAATTTCTTGGCATAGATGAGTGAGTGCCTCCTGTGCTGCCTCACTTTCTTGAATTAGTTCAATTTTGATCCCATCAATTCCTGGTACAGGTTGATAAAACTATTAACTTCCATGTGAACTGTATAGTTGATTCTTTTTAAGAACAGTGTAATCAGCAACTACTTGGTATTTATTTTTTATATGACTTTGGAGACTTTTGGCAGACAGTAACATAAAATACAACTTGGACCAGCTTAAACAACAAGAACAATGTTTAATTTACATAACGGGAAGCGCAGAAATGGGGTAGGCTCCAGACTGGTTGACTCAGTGACTCAACACTGCCTCAAGGATTCTGTATGTTCATGGCTCTGCCTTCCCCAATCCTAAAGTGCTTTCTTCTTGTGGTCATACAGTAGCTATTCATGGTCTTTCTCTTCCTCTCTCTTACAAGCAATTAGGCAGTGAAAAGTTTTTCCTAAAGTCCCACCAAATATTAGCCTGAGTTTAGCAATGACTCCCCAGAAATGTCAGTCACTCACTTGATTCTGAGTTTCTGAATCATGAGCTGGCCAAAGGCCTGGGACTAGCCTGACTGGTTTAGACCATTCAGAGTTCACTCGTAGGCCTAGGCACAGTCCCCAGCATCTCTGCCTCTGCACAGTGGTGCTTATGGCCTGGGTAGCAACCTTAAGTTCTACTTTAGTATTTTCCACAATAAATATCATTTCCCTCTCCTCCTAGATTGGTTCCAATGGGGAATAGATCCAGTTTCAAATATGAGATCAATATTGGCTTGATTGCTAGTTGAGTGGGACTGGGAAATACAAATTGAACCAGTGACTAAATGAGTTCCTTAATAATTTACCCATAAGTTAAACTGATGTACAAACCCAGCCTTAGGAGATGTTCCACCCATTTGAGCTTACCTACCACATAAGAACAGAGAGCAAAATAGTCACCTTTGTAATCTAAATGAACCCTGGTGTAGTGCTATAGGATCAGCACTGGACTGATAACCACAAGGTCAGCAGTTCAAACCCACTGGCCATTCTCTGAAACCATACATAGGGGTTGCTATAAGTCAGAACTGACTCAAGGGTACACAACAATCTAAATGAGGGATAAAGGGCAGACTGTGTGGGAACAATGACTACCTCCACCCTAATGGACTGGCAGATAAAGACTCATCCTTTCACCATATCATGATGAAAGAAACCAACCCTCTTCCCTTCACAGAAGAGTAAGGAAAGCAGGAATGGAACACAAGAATTTTTATCTTGCTATTTCCAGATGGTTTCTATAGTGATATAAACAGTGGGGATAGATCCCATGACATTTTCTGTTGCCTCTAAGTGAGGCTAGATATTCCGTGGCGCATCAGTATGACACATGGTTCTATCCATGAAAAGCTCACTCAAGATCAAGTCTAGATGATATATGATAGAATGAATGTAAAACTAATGTTCTCCCATTTAAACTATCACATAATTCACAATAAAACATTTAAGAAAAAGAAGAAAAAAAAAAGATCAAGTCTAGAAAGCAAGACCAACACAAGGGAAAGAAAAGATACCAAGAGGAGTGAAGGTTCAGGAAGGATGGGCTCAGTGAGGGAGGATCCTTCTGGGGATGTACTGACCACTCCTGACCACTGCCTTCTCCCCTCTCCCCTTACAGTGGAGGGAAACAGCGATGAGCTTGATGAACCCATCAAGACCGTGTTTGCCGATGTGGGTTTTGTCAAGAAGCACAATCTGATGAGCCTTAATTCCATCAACTGGTCCCGGGTCCTCATTCAGATGGCCCACCACTTCTTTGCCTACTTTCGGTGTGCACCATCCATGGACATGGACCCCCTGCCCCTTGTGGAGGTGGTTGTGCCAACTGGGGCTGCTGGCAACCTTGCAGGTATGGAGATTCCTGGACTTACACGGACTGGGAAGGGAAGCACCCGTGGTTCCAGTCTTTCTTTCTTCCAGCTGCCCCTTGGCTGCAACAGTGAGGAGAAAGTTGGGGTCCTTGTTTAGAAGGTGGTGGGAAACTACTCCGAATACACTCCCAGAAAATGCTCCCTTTAACTATCTAGGTGGGGAATCGCAGGCTCCTGTGGCAAGTGGGACATGAGTAGGTAGCCCTGATCTAGCTATTGGCCTGACCTACTGTCCTTATCCACTCAGCAGAGACAAGGTCAGAGTCCAGTAGTCATATCCTCTGCTGACTTGGACTTCATGCCCAGCCTTGGCCAGCTGCCTGCTATGAGGGCAAGTGGCTTGGCTGGTACAATGTCTGTTCACTCTTGAAGACATTATCTGGACACTGTGGTGAGGTAGAATGAGTCTAGACCTAGGGTTCTGGCTCCAGTCTGCTGTTGTCTTACTGAAAGGCTGTGGCATGGTGCCTTGGACTTAGTTCCTTATCTATGAAAGGGAGTTTGGATTGTGTATCATATCTCTGAAGACTGCTGGGAGGAGCAATACAGTTCTCTAAGAGTATATAAACTCTGTAAGGTTAAAGTGCTACACAACAACATGGCACTAAACTAATTTTCTTTTGTAATAATTAACATTTACTAAGCACTAGACTGTGTGTGATGCAAGATCCCTGGGTGGCGCAAATGGTTCACCCTGTCTGCTAACCAAAATGTTGGCAGTTCAAACCCACGCACCGGTGCTATGGAAGGAGGCTCCTGGCAGTCTGCTTCTGTGATATTACAGCCAAGACAGCTCTTTGGAGTTTGGTTCTACTCTGTAACACACAGGTCACCCTGAGATGGACTCGACTTGGTGAAGTGGGAGAATGTATAATGCAATGTTCTATCTGTGTTTCTCATGCATGAACTCAGTGAATCCTCACATGAGCCTATGAAAGGGACAATGCTATGATTCTATTTTATAATGATGAAATGGAAGCACAGAGATGGTAATCGACTTGCCTCTGGTTACACAGCTAGTGAATAGGAGAGCCAGGACCATAGTCCAGCAGTCTGCCTCCCGATGGGCATTACTGCTTCTGATAGTTCAGTCAGTGGCATTGCTTCTGATGGTTTGGATAAGGCTAGGAGCACAGCGCCATGGCTAGGAAGCGTCCTCACTCCTTCTGCTAACAGAGTGATGGAAAGAGCCGTGGGCTGGGAGTTAGGCAGGGATGGACCAGCCTTGTTACCACTCTGGGGTGCCCCCTGTCTTCCACGTTCACATCATCCCCTGGTGAGTGGTTTTACCTGAAGTAGTGCAGCCTGCAGCCCTCTACATCCAGCACCCACCACAGTGCACAAAATAAACACGAAACAAACACACGACTACTGTTTGCTGAGTGTCTAGCTATCCTTGTTCTGTAAGGAACTAGCAGTTTGACCTATAGTTCTGGGCCCTTCTTTTGCATAGGGATAGCATGACATTTTCATGAGAATCAAATACAGTAAGAATTGTGAAAATGTTTCACAAAAATTACGAGTGATACTAGTTGTTATTGTTGTTATGTGCTGTGGAGTTGGTTCTGACTCATAATGACCCTGTATAGGGTTTCTGAGGCTGCAAATCTTTATGAGAGCAAAAAGCCTCATCTTTTTCCCACGGAACAGCTGGTAGTTTCGAACTGCCGACCTTGAGGTTAGCAGCCTGATTCGTAACCACTACACTACCAGAGCCCCTTAAGAGTGATACTAGAGTGGCCTGATTATCTCTGATTCCACTTAACTCCTCACCAAAGAGAAAACATTACGTGTTTGGGCTTTGCATCTCTTTGGGTGAGGAACTCCTTGCTTGTCCTGTGCAAACAAGAACTGTTGTTAATATGGACTGAGGGGCATTGTTTTGTCACCCTTGGTGCCTCAGATGCAGTCTGAAGCTGCTGGCTCTTGGAATATTAAAAGCATGTACCCTGGTCTCTTAGAAAGGCGTAGTTGGATTCCTTCCGCTGTCACTTAGTAGGCTTTGGATGAGCTGGTTCAAGCGGTTTCCTCTTCTGCAGGAGGGCGGCTTTAAGGTAACAAGCACTGTCAGTACCTACCAGAGGACCGTGGAGGCACGGGAGGGAGGAGGAGGGATCCAGTGGTAGAAATCCCACCTTCCATGCAGGAGACTTGGGAATTGGGCTAGAGGCCTGACCAGTGCACTTCATGTGCAGCCTCCACAGCCATCAGTGAAGGCTTATGTGTTGGTATGATGATGAACGGGTTTCAGCAAAGTTTCCAGACTAAGATGAGCTAGGAAGAAAGGCCTGGCTAGCTACTACTGCAAAGCAGCTAATGAAAACCCTGTGACTCACAACAGTCTGATCTTCAATGGTTCAATCATGGGGATACTGCAGGACCAGGCAGTGATTTGCTTTGTTGTGTATGGGGTTGTCATGAATTGGGGCTGACTTGATGGCAGCTAGCAACTATGACGACAGTAATGTACCCAATGGTACGCAGAATAGCCTCAGAGCATAGTAATAGATTTCTCCTCTTCCTCTCTCTCAACAGAGTTTATGAGAACTGTTCACATACTCACCCATTTAAAGTGTACAAATCAGTAGTTTTGCAGAGAGGTGTGACCATCACCACAATCATTTTAGAACATTTTCATTATCCTAGAAAGAAACCCCATACCCATTAACAGTGTCTCCCCATCCACCCCATCTCCAGACCTAGGCAACAATGAATTTGCCTTCTGTCTGTATAGATTTGCCTATCCTGAACATTTCATATACATGGAATCATATATGACTTATATTGCCTGGTTTCTTTTCAAGGTTCATCCATATTGCTGCATGTGTCAATACTTCAATCATTTTTATTGCCAAATAACATTCCATTGTATGTTGTTGTTGTTAGGCACCATCAAGTCGATTCCGACTCATAAAGACCCCATGCACAACAAAACAAAACACAGCTCAGTACTGGGCCATCCTTACAATTGTGATGTTTCAGCCCACTGCCGCAGCACTTTGTCAACCCATATCCTCAAGGGTCATCCTCTTTTTTGTTGACCCTTTACTTTACCAAGCATGATGTCCTTCTCCAGAAAACATGTCTCCTGATAACAAGTCCAGAGTATCAGAGGCGAAGTCTCCCCATCCTGGCTCCTTCCGTTGTATAGATATACTGTTGTTTGTTGTTAAGTGCTGTTGAGTCGGTTCTAACCCATAGCGACCCTGTGCAGGGTTTTCAAGTAGCAGCTGGTGAGCTTGAACTACTGGCTTTATCGTTCAAGTCGACTTTGTGGTCCAGCGCATTAACCCACAGCACCACACATTATGTTTATTCATTGACAGACATTTGGGTTGCTTCAAATTTTTGACTATTATGAATATGCTATTCTGAACATTTGTGCAAGTTTTTGTGTTGGCAAATGTTTTCATTTCCTTTGTGAAATGAAATTGCTGTGCTATATAAAAATTCTGTGTTTAACTTTTTATAAAGAAACTGCCGAACTCCAAAATGACTCTACCATTGTATATTCCCACCAACAATGTGCAAGAATTGTAATTTCTCTCCATCTTCCCCAATGACTGTTTTTGTCTGTCTTTTTGACTAATCCTATCTTAGTGGGTATGAAGTTGGTTAAAAGATGAGACTTTCTGCTCCCATAAAGATTTACAACACGTTGGGTATGAGCTGGAACCAGCTCAGCAGCTCACAGGTGTACCAGCACAATGTCTCTGAAGTGGTACCTCATTGTGGTTGTGAGCTGCATTTCCCTAACGAAGTATCTATTCATCTGATTTTTGACCACATGCATATCTTTGTTAGAATCTCTTTTCCAATCCTTGACCATTTTTAAATTGAGATGTTTGTCTTTTATTGTTAAGTTGTAACCGTTTTTTATGTATCCTAAGTGTTGTTGTTGTTGCTAAGTGTTGTCACATCGGTTCCGACTCATACTGACCCTGTATTCTGAGGCTATATATCTTTGTGGAAGGAGCTCTGGTAGTGTAGTGGTTACGAATCAGGCTGTGAACCTCAGGGTCAGCAGTTCCAAACTACCAGCGGTTCTGTGGGATAGAGATGAGGCTTTCTTCTGCTGTAAAGATTTACAGCCTCGGAAAACCTGTACAGGGTCGCTATGAGTCAGAACTGACTCCACAGCACATAACAACAACAACATATCTTTGTGGGAGCAGAAATCTTCATTTTTTGCTCATATTCTAGGTGCAAGTACTTATTACACATATGATCTGCAAATATTTTCTCACATAGTTTGAGTTGTCTTTTTTTACTTTCTTGATAGTGCCCTTTGGAACATAAAAGCTTCAAACAGCACAAAAGTTTAAAAATTTTGACGAAGGTCAATTTTTCTATATATTTTATCGTTTTATCTGCTTTTGGTGCCCTAGCTATGAAACCATCATTCTCCCCTTTCTCTTGTCTTAAGCTGGATGTATTGCTCAGAAGATGGGCCTGCCCATCAGCCTGGTTGCAGCAGTGAACCACAATGACATCATCCACAGGACTGTCCAGCAGGGGGACTTCTCTCTGTCCAAGGCTGTCAAACCAACCTTGGCATCAGCTATGGACATCCAGGTGGGATCTGTAGGGAGGTGTGCAGGTGTTGTTGGGTGGGGCCTAGGTAGGGGCTGAGATCAGTATGGTCCCGGGGCCTTGCCTTTCTGTCCAGGTGCCCTACAACATGGAGAGGATCTTCTGGCTGCTGTCCGGCTCTGACAGCCAGACGACAAGAGCGCTCATGGAGCAGTTTGAAAGAACCCAAAGTCTGAGCCTGCCCAAAGAACTACACAACAAGGTCAGTCTCTGCCCACACATTGCAGAGAAAGGAAGGCTGTTGCCACAAAACCAGACTTGGTGTTTGGAAGTCTGTTCAAGGGAAGGGGTCACCTGCTTCTTAAATAGCTGCCAAGTACCAGGTACTGTCACTGTCATGTTGCATGGACTAAGGTATTGAATGAAGAGAGCCAGTAGGAAGCATTGGTTCCAAGTCAGCTGTGAGACCGTGGGTAAGTTTCTTCAGCTCTGTTCCTCCTCTATACAATGGTGCTCATATGATTGCCTACCTTCTGGGATATCTGGGAGATTTATGTCAAATAATACATGTGAAGTACTTTGCATCCTGCCTGGCATATAGACTTGCATACATTAACTATTTCTATTAGCCACTATGAGTAGAGACCATTGTTCCTGTTAAGCTCTTTCTTTCTTTATTTTTGTGGAAGGAATTTCTTTTATTTCCTTTGTTGTGATTGTTGTTGGTAAGTGCCATGAAGTCAGTTTTGACACCTAATGACCCTGTATAGCATTTCCAAGGCTGGTGAGTTTGAACTGCCGACCTTACAGTTCAAACCAATTTTGTGGTTGAGCGCTTAAATGCCATCCTTCTGACTCATAGTGACCTTGTAAAGGATTTCTAAGGAGTGGCTGGTGGGTTAGAACCACTCACTTTGTAGATGGCAGTTCAGTGCTGATCCTGCAGTGCTATACCAGGATACCTTAGAGCCTTCCCACTTCCTTTAGCTGTCCCTTATATGACTTAATTTTGCATGGTCAATGTCCTTCTTATGTGGTCTCAGAGTAAGATATGGTTCTCTAGCCTAGGCCATACCCACACAGTTGGAAGTACAATTTCTGTCTTCTGGAATCTGTGCCTGTTTGGATGTAAACAAAGATAAACTTACTCAGTCAGTGCTTTGTTTTGATAACCACGTTCCAGCTTCCCATGCTCCATGAAGACCAGCACCATAATGCCATTCCTTGGCTCTCCCTGTGCCCCGCCCCACGCTGGACACATAGGAGATGCTCCATTTGCTGAAATGACGTAGCAGACAGGAGAGGTATCGGATGACCTCCAGTGAGTGCGTCTGGCTCGTGTATTTTATGAGCCAGTATATCCAGGACCTAGGAACTCTGGCGCTATCTCTGTCTGTAGATGTGACCCAGGAAGGAAGTTTCCATTTAAGGAAACTTCAGGCGCTAAAACACTGAACTGCAAGGTTGGTTTGAACCACAAGGTCGGAGGTTCAAACTCACAAGATGCTCCTTGGAAACCCCATACTGGGTCGCTATGAGTCAGAATCAATTCGAGGCCACTTAACAACAACATGGGTCAGAACTGTGCTAGATGCTGGAGATACAAAGACAAATAAAATACAACCCTGTGATTTCAATAACCTCATATACATGCAAAAGAGAAGAATTGATGCCTTTGAGTTATGGTGTTGGAGGCAAATATTGAAAGTGCCCTGGGCTGCCAAAAGAACCAATAGATTCGTTTTGGATGAAGTGCAGCCAGAGTGCTCCTTAGAGGCCAGGATGGCCAAACTTTGTCTCTCAACTTTGGACATATTGTCAAGAGGGACCAGTCTCTGGAGAAGGATATCATGTTTCGTAAGGTGGAGGGTCAGAGAAAAAGAGGAAGACCCCCCCCCCCCCAATGAGATGGATTGGCCAAGTGTCAGCATCGATGGATTCAAGCGTGGCAACAATAGTGAGGTTGGCTCAGGATTGGACAGTGTTTCATTCTGCTGTGCATAGGGTCACTATAGGTCGGTAACCGACTCGATTGCACCTAACAACAACAATGGAGGAGGTAGCTATACAAACCGTTTATAATACCAAATGGCCTCTGCTGTAGGATGTTTGATATGTCATAAGCATGCAATAAACTTTCAGAGAATGATCACATACTCTGCCCACACTGCGAGGATACAGGAAAATGGGAACATTTCGTAGAGAAGGTGCCATGTGCGCTGGCTGGGTGGGAACTGGGAGAGAAGAGTTCTCATATTCATCTGAAAGGGGCACACCTGCAAAACAGAGACCCTGGAAAAATGCTTGACTGTCTCTAACCTCTATTGTCAGATTGTTGAATGGGATTACATACTAATTTGCTGATTCGTGAGCCAAATTCCTAACTTAATTTGTTGACTTAAAACTTACACATGTCCTTCCCCTGAATAGAGTAAATCAGCTTAAAACTGGTAAAGCAGATGTTTCTTCAGTGGTTCAAAAGTTCCACAACATTGAAGAGTCATAATTTTCTCCTGGCTGAATCCGAACCAAGATGATCATACATTTTGATTTCAGTCCAGTCCCTGGTGTTTGTCTGAGTGAGTCTATACAGTGGGTTTTTGATCGCCTCTCCACTGACCCTGCGACCTATCAGCTTTCAGCGACTGTGACGTCTGAGTCAGTGTCGGATGAGGCCATTACCCAGACCATGGCTCGATGCTGGGAAGAGAACCAGTACTTGCTGTGTCCTCACTCGGCAGTGGCCGTGAGCTACCATTACCAGCAGATGGATAGGCAGCAGTCCAGGTATGGCTGTCGGGTACTGGGTCACTCGCGGACTCTAGCTTTTGGGTACCCCTCTTTTCTCCAAGCAGGAGAGACACGGGTGTAAACAAAGAACACTAATGCAGTATGTTGAGGGCTGGGTGGAACTGAGCCCAGAAGATGCTCTAGGAATAGCCACTGGGAGAGGTGGTGCCTGAGCTAGACCTCCAAAAAGGAGGAGTACTTTGCCAGGCAGATTTATTGCATTGCTAAGTTCAAGGTAACCCTGCCAGTTGCTGTGGAGCTGACTCTGACTCATGCCAACCCCATGAGTGTCAGAGTAGACCTGTGCTCCACTGAGCTTTTAGCGGTTGATTTTTCACAAGTAAATCACCAGCCTTTTCTTCTGAGATGCTTCAGAAGATTGGACTTGAACCCCCAGTCGTTCAATAAGCAGCCAATCATGTTAAATATTTGAACCACTCTGGCTCCCAAGTTCAAGGTACTAATTAACTGTGTCTCTCCATTCTCCATGTCCTTCTACTTTCATCCTCTCCCTGTTCCTCCACATCCTCCCTCCCCCACCTGTCTTTTCTCTATGGCAACCCCCTGCTCCCATTTGCCTTCCCCACCCACCCAGCAGCACTCTCAGGTGCTGCCTGGCCCCTGCCTCTGCAGCCAAGTTCCCAGAAGCTGCCCTGGCAGCTGAGCTGAACCTGGAGGTTCCTGAGGAAATCCTGGCCTTGGAGCTCAAGGAGACACGCTGCACTCCAATGAGGAGAGATGATGACTGGACACAGATGCTTCTGGGCACCATTGAGGCCCTAAGCGGGCAGTGGAGGGGCTGTGCCCAGGACTCCTCAGAGCAGCCAGGCTGGAGATGACTTCCACTCTTTCTCCCCATTGAGAGTTCCTGCTGGGGGAGGGGGCGGGTACTAGGAGGGCTGGGCCTGGAGACAAGTGGTTTTGCTGTGCTTTCTAACCATAACAGTGTTGTGCTTGGTTACCTGGGAGGCTGGTGAAGGAATGTGGATATGCACCCACTGCTAGACAGTGTAGAGATATCACCGCTGGACAGGAAATTGCTGGGGGCCGTGCACAGTGGACCCGGCCTGCTCACTATCATAAACCAGATCTGGGGCTCACAGTCTCTGAGCCTTAATTCATCTGACTCCAGACCAGGTTCAAAGGCCTTGGCCCACTTTGTCAGAGGCTTCCAGCATCTTCTGATGTTGGGAATCCCTGGAAGAAAAGTGCTGTTCCATGTGAGAGTGGCTCTGCATGTCCTGTGGACCAACTCCTTCTCCTCTCTCAAGCTACCCCTTTCCCCTCCCCATCCCCAGCTCAGAAGCCTTAGCCTTGGAGATCTTAAATATCCACCCTTTACAAATAATTGTGGGTAGACCCAAAGAGGGAGAGGGGCTGTGTGCTGAGGACCTGGGTGCAGGCTTACAGTGTATATACCCTTTGGTTGTTTGATGATGCATGGAGGGGATTGTAACCATGGCAATGAAACAATATATGATAGGATGAATGTAAAGCTAATGTTCTCCCATGTAAACTATCACATAATTCACAATAAAACATTGAAAAAAGAGAGATAAAAAATAAAATAAAATAATTGTGGGGAAGACCAGTTGCATCTTCTAAAGATGTGTTTGCTGCATTCTTCTGTGTACCAGGATTCAAGCCAAAGATTGGACCATATGGGCCTGCCTTCAGGATGAGGAAGAAGACCCTGGGGGTGGGGCCTCATGGTGGCCTTAAGTGGACTAGACACTCCTCTGTCCATTCTTCTCTTTAGAGGGAGCGTGGACACTTTTTAAACTAAGCCTAGGTCTGAGTGACCATAAAGTCCAGTATGGTGGTGGTTATGTGCTGTGGAGTCGATTCTGACTCATAGTGACTTTGTATAGGGTTCCAAGGCTATACATCTTTACAGGAGCAGAAAGCCTCATCTTTCTCCTGCAGAGAAGCTGGTAATTTCTAACTGCTGACCTTGAGGTTAGCAGCCTGACTTGTAACCACTATGCTACCAGAGCTCTTAAAGTTCAGTATACCAAAACCAAATCACCAAACCCACCGCCTTCAAGTTCACTCCGACTCACAGCAACCCAACCTGACAGAGTGGAACTGTCCCATGGGGTCTCAAAGGCTGGAAACCTTCACAGAAGCAGACTGCCACATTTTTCTCTTGTAGAACAGCTGACGTTTTGGAATACTTTCATATGTTGTTGTTGTCAAGTGCCGTCAAGTTGATTCCAACCCATAGTGACCCTGTATAGGGTTTCCAAGGAGCAGCTGGTGAGCTTGAACCACCGACCTTGCATTTCAAACGGCTTTGCAGTCTGGTGCATTAACCCACAGCACCACACCAGGACTCCATATAGGACTTTCATATAGGAGATTTGAATTAATTTTGCTGAACTTCTAATGCAAACTGAATTAAATTAATCTTACTGTGGCCTAGTAAACACATTGATTGCTTTTGTCATTTGCTCTTCTGTTGACAGTGCCTCGGTTATTTTCTACTGGGCAGCCTCCCTCTCACCCCTAGTATGTGGGTTCTGTTGGAATTAACAGCCCCTGGATCACACCTGGTGGATAGCTGAGCTCAGGCTTTGCCAGTCAAAACTGTAGCAGTGGATTCTGGGATGGGTGTGTGACTGAGTTCAGGCCAGGTGAGACTTGTGTTTGAGATGCCATTCTCTGACTTCTGTGACTACTGAGAGCCTCGGACAAACCCATGAAGTGGAATTGTTTCACTTTGATGTAGAAAGAATCTGTCTGAGAATGAAACTGACAAAGGGAAGCTGAGTCAAGGGATGGTAAGCAGGACTAGAGGTCGGAGTTGCACTTTGAACCACACTCCTTGATTTTTTTTTTTTTTTAACTTAAGGTTTATATTGTGGATTAAGTTAAAGTTTACAGGTCACATCATCAGTTTTACATTCAACAAATCATATACCGTGTTTCATTACATTGATTATAATCCCCTCCATGTACCATCAGTTAACAGTATTTCTCTCTATCCACTTTAGCTTTTTAAAAAAACACACAAACAAAAAAACCCACTCAGGCATATATAATAATTTACATCTTCAAAGGGCACATTCTGCAAGTCTGCTCCTGGCCACCAGCTCTTAGTCCCTCTCTTCTTAGTCCATGAATCTAGAGTCCTCAGCCGCTCCCCGTCTCCATGCCCCCATCTCTGCCTCCATCGCTAGTGCTGCTGCTTCTCTGGATAAGGTCCCACATTTTGCTTGTGTGTTCCTCTCTTGATGGTCCTAGGGTCCTCTGTTTCTGGACTGTAAGATTAACCACTCCCCTTTTTTTTGTTACAAAACTTCTACCTTTACAACTGTGACAGTCGCGATTAGTCATGATAACAGTTATTCACTATTGAATCTTATCCCCGTCTCTTTTCACACACTCCTTGCTTTTGCTGGTTGGGTTCCAGTTAGCAGTGCTACAGAAGCCATGACTGGTCCCTGAACTCGGTTCTTTGGTTTAAGTTGTGCATGTTGTTAGGATACTTCTAAATTGAAAGTACTTCAGGTTGCCAGAAGAACAAACAAATGTGTCCTAGAAGAAGTACAACCAGAATACTCCTTAGAAGCAAGGATGGTAAGACTTAGTCTCTCATGCTTTGGATATGTTATCAGGATGGACCATTCATGCTTGGTAAAGTGGAGGACCAGCAAAAAAAGAGGAAAATCATCAGCATGATAGATTGACAAGTGGTAGCAACAGTGTGAGGATGACGCAGGACCGGCAGTGTTTTCTGGTTGCTACGAATCTGAACCGACTTGATGCACTAACAACCGATAGATGCTGACACAATTCTGTCTGCATACTCTTATAGGTGGGTGAGGTAACAGTGTCATTCCCAAGGGGCAGAACCATGATCCTTGATACCTATCTAATAACAGAATGGAGACTGGCGCAGAAATCCCCATCCTTGAACAAGCTGAACATTGGAAAGGAATATCTGAAGGTGGATGTTTGGAGTAGGCTTCCTTAATGTTCATTTCCGATGCCGTGATTCTATAGAGGAGATAGTATTCACTGATGGAATATTAAGACTCCATCAAAACACAAATAGGTCCTAGAAGGATATAGATTAATTTTAAAGCACAGCTCCGCTAGATATCATCAAGAGAGCTTAACATAGGTACACAGCGTTCACAGATTCACGGAACATATTTTTACTGAGTTTCGATGATGTTTCAGACAGTGAGCTCGAGGCCAGGGCTATAGAGGGAAAGAAGAAAGCCAGCCCCGTCCATCCATGGAACTTAGAATCTAGCGGAACAAAGTGGCACTAAATAAATGATCACACAAATAAATATTGCAGTTTGTACTTGAAAGAGCATCCAGAAGGAGAACCAGATTTAGTCTGTGGAGAGGGAGAGGAGATTCATTTAAGCCAAGACTGGAAAGATGAGCAGGACGTAATCAGGCAGCAAAGTCCATCTTTGGAGGATGTGGCAGCTGAAAGGAACTGTGAACCCAGCTTGGGCAGAACTGAAAGGCAGCCATTGTGGCGGAAGACAGAAGAGGAGGGTCTGTAGAAGGGGACTGGGGTCAAACCTGCTGGATCTGTGGGTAAGGTCTTGCCCAATGTCCAGGCTAAAGACTTTGGATTTCATATGAATAGCAGTGAAAAGTTAGGGACAAGATTGGATCTGTGTGTGGGGCATCAGTGTGCCCCACAATCCAGCCATTTGTCTCTTCTTTAAAGAATATTTTATGTTTCTGCTTGCTAGATATTATTTCCCATCTCTATGACTTGGAACTGACTCCACAGCACACAACAACAACAACAACAACAACATCAACAAGGTGCTTGACTCCTGGTGTGGTGCTGTGGGATAATCATTGGACTGCTAATCATAAGGCCAGCTGTTCAAACCCACCAGCTGCTCCTTGGAAACCGGTACAGGATCCCTGTGAGTTAGAACCAACTTTACTGCACTTAACAACAACACAAAAAAATCTGGCTGATAAGCACTGGACTGCTAGCCACAAGGCTGCCAGTTTAATCCTACCAGCCAATCCTCAAATGCCCTATATAGGTTTGTTGTGAGTCAGAACCAACTTGAGGACACTTAAAAACAACACAGTTGCTTGAGGATAGAAGCCATTGTTTAACTACAATGGGCTGAAAGGTTTTGGATTATTATTATTTTTAATTTAAATATGTGCTTTTAAGTACCCTTTTGAGTCTGCTCAGACTCATAGTGACCCTATGCACAACAGAATGAAACACAGCCCTGCACCTTCCTCACAGTTGTTATGTTTGAGCCCATTGCTGTTGTCACTGTGCCAATCCATCTCCTTTGAGGTTTGGGGTGTCTTCCTCTTTTGCTTTGATCCTCCATTGTACCAAGCTTCATGTCCTTCTCCAGGGACTGGTCCCTCCTGAGAACTTGTCCAAAGTATGAGATACAAAGTCTCACCATCCTGGCTTTCAAGGAGAATTCTAGTTGCATTTCGTCCAACACAGATTTATTTGTTCTTCTGGCAGTCCATAGTACTTTTAATAGTCTCCAACACCTTAATTCAAATGCATCCATTTTTTTAATGGTCTTCCTTATTAATTGTCCAATTTTCACATGCTTGGCTATTGAAAATACCATGACTTGGGCCAGTCATACCTTAGTCCTCAAACTGACCTCTTTGCTCTTGAATGCTTTAAATAGATCTTTTGCAGCTGATTTCTATAATGCAATATGTCATTTGATTTCTTGTCTACTTCTTTCACAAATATTGATTGTGGATCCAAGCAAAATGAAGTCTTTGACAATTTCAATCTTTTCTTCATTTAACATGATGTTATTTATTGGTTAAGTTATGAGGATTTTTGTTTTCTTCACATTGA